ACACCTAAATTGACTCATAAAATTAAATAAAATATTAAATTAAACCTAAATAACAAATAAAATTAGCAAAACAAAAAGAAAAACCATAAAATACCATAAAATTCTTTTATCTTGACTTTTTTCATGATGAAATCACAATTGGATTTGCGACCAGCCATAGGTGGACTCTCACAGGATGGCAAATCGGTGATGGATGGTGATGGTGATGGTGATAGCTTTTGCACATGCCTTGCCAGACAGTTTCAAAAGCAATCAAGCGTTACAAAGAACTGGAAAATTGAAAGATCGATCAGGATGCGGTCGAAAGAAAATTGCCAACAATCCAATCAATCGTCGAAAGATCTTTCAACGAATCCAAAGAAACCCGAGATCACAGAAAAACTCCACTCGAAAGATGGCTTTTACAATTGGAATCTCAGAGACCATAGTGCACTGAATTCTCAAAAAACACGGAATAAAGGCACAAAAAGATGTAAATGACAAACGATCAAATGAACGATCAAAATGAACGATCAAAATGAAGCAAAAGAAAGTTGTTGTTGTTTGTCCAATGATTGTCAAATCAACATGAAATTTGCAGATAAACGATTTCGATTGAAATCACCGATTGAAATTTATTTGGATTAAAACAATCTCGAGCGCTACAATAACGTGTTTCTACCGTTATCTTGAGTGTTTTTTTAGCTTTTATGAATCTATAAAAGGTTAGAAGGGAGTAGAATAGCATCAATGAACACTTGTAGACTCTTCTAAGGCACTCATACCTAATTTTTAAGATGTTTTGGGTATTTCTGGAGTGGGAAAGCGCTTGAAAATCCATTTTACTTTTTTTGTTTTCTCCAGTTGGCCGTCAAAATCACGGAAACTGACAAAAGTTTGGTTAAAAATTATTAGGCTTTGGGGAGAAAGTCTTTGCCGATTTTTTGGGAGAGGATCTTAAACTTGTTCGATCTGGACGTATAATAGCTCATTCAAAAGCTAATTTTCTAGCAGATTGGATTAAAAAAAGCCATTTTATCAATTTTCAAATTTTTTGCAGTCGTTTTAATGAGGGGCGTCAAAACCCAAATTTCAAAAAAATTCATTTTTTTCATTTTTTTGTACGGAAACCCAGGCTGAAACCATGTTTTTCGGAGTCAGCGTTAAAAATTACCCTAGAAAACGTCAAACTCATTCTTTTAGCAAAATCTTTTCAAAAAACGTGCCGCGCGCCGGGGTCGAACCCTCGACCCTCAGATCACCGCTTTCAGAGCTCTCAGAGCTTTCAGAGAAAAAAAGAAAATTCAGTAAACATTAACAAAACAATGAAAACAACTAAACAAAACCAAAACAACTAAACAAAACCAAACAAAGGAACAAAGTTTCCTTTTTTAGAGCTCTGAAAGCGGTGATCTAAGGGTCGAGGGCTCGACCTCGGCGCGCGGCAGGTTTTTTGAAAAAATTTTGCTAAAAGAATGAGTTTAATGTCGATTAATCGAGTAAAAATTACTCATGCAGATTTTACTCGAGTAATTACTTACTCACAAGGAACACACTCTAGTCTTGAGGTCCAGTTGGAGAGTCCGATTGACGGTAAATAAAATGAGACTGCTTTAAAGACTACCGCAATCCCGTAAAAGACATTGGGATTACGGTAATCGTAAACGCAACTTTAGGAACACCTGACCGAACATATGATAGTCAGTGCCGTTGTGTCTTTACAGATTGACTTGTTTCAAAGAACTCAATGCATTGTTTATTCTCATCAGATGCCCGTTTAGTGCTTGGCGGCAAAACGACGAGGGCAGGGACAATAGTTGGCATCTCTGCCTTGACCTCCGGGTTGTCCAGGTCCTCCATCGTGGCCACGGCCTTAAATAGAAAGACATACACCCTGTAATCAGCTTTTGAATCATGTAATTTGAAAAAAGCAAAACCTCCAGCGCTTCCAGAGCCTCCTGGGCGTCCGTTTCCTCCGTTTTGTCCAGGTTATCCTCGCGAGGAACACACTCTACTATTGACTAAAAAGTTCATCGAAAAATCATGGTCACTTCAATTTACTTGAAATTTTCAAGTACCGTTTCAGAAAAGTCAGGTATTTCCGTACCAAAAAGAAAGGAAAAAGAAAGCAAAAAGAAAGTTTTCATGCTGAAAATGCGTAGGCGAATTTGTCATTCATTTTTACAAAGAAAACTCACTTTTAAAAGTACAAGACTTGTTATTTTTAGCTTTAAACTCAAAATAGTAGAAACTTTCTACTCAAAAACGCAAAAAAAAATCATTTCTAGCGCATTGAATGATTCATTTTCTATAAGTTTATCAAAATTTTTAAAGATTCTTTAACTAGAATTGTTATTTACAATTAGATTACAATTTTGAGCACAAATTTTCTCAGATCTCAATCTCAAAAATCAAAAAATTACAACGAAACCATCAATTCCCTTGTTTCCAAATTCATCTTATTTATTTGGTGAATTAAAAACTGCCGGCTTTTGTCATATGTCATAGTTTGGGCACTTTCTTCAAAAGAAACCCATTTTGGTGTTAATGGAAAAGTTGTAGAGAATCAAAAATCAAGCTTATATCCAAATTTTCAGAACAATTCAAAAACTGGCTTTCAAGAAATGCCAAATTTACGAATTTTCACAAAACTTGCATTTTAAGCGAAACTACTAAGTGTATCTTTTTGGAAATTTGGCTATAAGCCTAATTTTTGATTCTCTACAACTTTTCTATTGACACCAAAATGGGTTTCTTTTGAAGAAAGTGCTCAAACTGGGCTGACAGCTGACATCTCCAGACCTCCATTTTTGAGTCTCACACTTGTCTCACACCGAAACCAAAATCCTACCACGAAAGAGGAATCCGAAAATTGCCTGTAAAATGGGCAGAAGTCTCGTCAATAATAATGGAAATTATTTCGAATGAATTGATGGTTTAATGTTGAAGAAATATTAGTTCAAAGTCCGGCAGTTTTCAATTCGCCAACCCAATAGTAGTAGGTTAGAGCCCTGACAACCGGAATCAGGTCCAAGTCTAGTTTCCGAGTCTGAGTTTTGAATGACTTAACTTTGATGTAACTTGATGTAACTTGTAATAAAGCCAGACTAGGCTAGGTCAGGCAAAACAGGCAAGACAAGACACCAGGTCAAGATGGCTTTTAATAAGAGAGCCAAGAGGCTTTCTAGAATCGTGATCGTGATTAGTGATGGGAAAATTGTGACTAAAATTGTGATTGCATAATGTTTATGGAATTTGGATTGATTTATTGACTCTAAGAACTCACAATTTTTCCTCCCCATGAAACGCGATTCAACGCCAGCATCCAATTGTAGCTGTCTTTACGAGCGGTCGCCGCACTCCAGGCTCTAGCTCTCCAGCCGCACAATTACATGAAGTCCAGAACATATCGGATCCGGTGTCAAGGTCGATAGTGACCATCTGTCCGGGATTACCGATCATAAGAGAGCCACGAGGCTTTCTAGAATCGTGATCGTGATTAGTGATTGGAAAATTGTGACTAAAATCGTGATTACATAATGTTTATGGAATCTGGATTGATTTATTGATTTATTTTGACTTTGAATAATGGAAGAATGTTTAGAAATGATTTAAGAACATAAATGTGAACATTGTTCACAATTTCACGAATGGTTTATGCAAAAATAGTCGGATTCAATACGTGGAATGGAATTGAATTGAAATGAATTCCACAAAATAGTGGAATTCAATTCAAATTTTCCAGTCATTTTCTCAAAAGAAGCAAAAAGATACCAGTAGTGAAGTCAAACCCGGGCAAAACCTAGAACCGTTCTGGAGGCTAGCACACTATCCATTGCGCCACTAGCTCCGAAAGAGAGAAAAAGAGAAGAGAAAGGAAAGCTTATAAGGAAGAGAGAAAAGCTTAAGGGCTCCGAAAATCGACTAAACTTTGATGCCAGATATCTCGCGTTATAGAGCTTCTTTAAAAAAAGTAAAAGCATATTCAGAATCAGCGTAGCCGATCTGGCTCTCTTAGCCGATCGTTCTGAAAGCTAGCACACTATCCATTGCGCCACTAGCTCCGCAAGCGAGAAAAAGAAAAGAGAAAGATCATAGAAAAGTACAATTTATTTTGCATACTCTAGTGTAAGAACATAGAGAAAATTTGTGTTAAAGTTGGACTACCTACCCGAAAAAGTCGATCAACTTAGATGGTCGATAACTCGAGGTATAGAAGCTGAATCAACTTATGACTGGTTTCATAGTAAAAGTAAAAGTAAAAGCTTAGTAAAAGCGTGGCTCTGTTAGTAAAAGGCCAGCTTGATCCGGTGCCTTTCCTAATCAAAATCCAAGGCCAGTATAGCTCTGGAACAGCTGAGAAAGTCAAATTTCCCGCTCAAAACTGTTTCATTCGCAGTAATTTTTGCAATTCCCAGAATTCGATCTCTACTCAACGCCACGCAAAAAGCTTTACAAGAGGCTTTTCGACGATGCCGATTACAAAAAGGATATGGCACCGATTTTTGGGAGAATACGTTAAAAATTTACTTTTAAAAGTTTACAATTCAATTTCAGATATTCCTGTTCATTTGTTACTTGAATTGTCTTATATGAGACTAATTGAGATTGTAAGTTAAAGAAATTTAGTTAAACAAACTGAAGAATTTTAGGATTCCGAGACACAACAAGTCAGTCTTTAGGTTGGAGATTATAAATGTAAGTTTTTTTAAATGAATGAGAAGTAAGTCTCTTCCGTCCACGGCCCAATCGATCCCTGTTGTTTCACAATGCTTTAAGCCGTGCAATTGTTTGATAGAGGGTAGCTCGACTTGCTTGCTCGAATTGAATTCATGGAAAAAGATCAACTATGACAACTTTTTTTCAGCATTGGTCCGATCTGCGTCTTCGTTGGGATCCCGAAGATTACAACGGAGTGAACGTGCTGTGAACTCCGGAATACTTTGGATTCCAGAATACAGTGCCTCGGATTCCTGTTCGTGTTTTGTAAACCATTTAATAGAATTGTTTTTAGACAAGAATTCGAGCTTCTTGCACCCGACGCGCAACGATTTGCGCGGCTTTACAATAATGGAACCGTCTACTATGAAACGACAATTTTCATGAAGTTTTCATGTAAACTCAATGTGAGTTGAGGATTTTATGGTAGGATTTTTACCTGCCTCGTTTCTGAGCTACAGTACCCCACAAGAATATAGCTGCAGTACTTCTTGATCAATCATTTGTCAGACTATAGTTACTATACAACTACAGTATCCTTCCATTAGCTACTTACGTTACTAGAAAACTAGAGCTATAGTAGCTTTAAATGGCTATAGTATTCCACAAGAGTCTGAAAATAGTACCCTTTTGTATTAGCCAACCTTACTTGATTGGACTAGTCAATTCCGAGAAAATGAAACAAAACTCGCAAATTAGATCAACAGATCGTAGAATGTTGAATTTTTAGCAAAAATATTAGGCATTTCAAAAAGTCTTTTTGTTCCTTTTCGTACTTTCGTTTAAAGCCAACAAATCAACCAATTGAACTACTTTTTGTTTTGTTTCATTTGTTTTGTTTTGTTTGTTTGTTTTGTTGAATTTGTTTCATTAGAAAAGCCAATTATTTTTCTGCAAAATAGCATTAAAACGGGTTTTAAATGGCTTATGTATGGATTTTTTGGGAGCGTATGTTGATAGCGTATATTAACTACCCGATTTATGATTAAAAAGACTATATTGATGAATTTGAGTCTTATTCATGACTTACAACATTTTCCGGGTCGATTCGGGGTCGATTTGAGGGCGATTCAAGGCGGATTCAAGGCCGATTCGAGCTCGATTCAAGGCCGATTCGGGGTTGATTCGAGGCCGATTCGTGGCCGATTCGAGGTCGATTCAAGGTCGATTCGTGGCCGATTCGGGATCGATTCGGGATCGATTCGGGATCGATTCGGGATCGATTCGGGATCGATTCGGGATCGATTCGGGATCGATTCGGGATCGATTCGGGATCGATTCGGGATCGATTCGGGATCGATTCGTGGCCGATTCGAGGTCGACTCAAGGTCGATTCGGGATCGATTTGAGGCCAATTCCAGGCCAATTCGAGGCCGGTTCGAGGCCTGGTTCGAGGCCGACTCGAGGCCAATTCCAGGCCAATTCGAGGCCGGTTCGAGGCCTGGTTCGAGGCCGACTCGAGGCCGATTCGAGGCCGATTCGAGGCCGATTCGGGGTCGATTCGGGGTCAACCCGGGAACTATATTGATGACTTTTTAGTCATAAGTCGGGTAATCAAAAAGGCTCGATGGTGCAGTTTAGACACTTTAGTTAAGGGAACCTATCTTGATGTCAATAGACAAAAGATAGAGCACAAAAAGTTTGGTATATAGCTAAATTTTCAGAGAAATTCATTCAGCCAATTTCTTCGTAGAGGTTTTTCTAGATTTTTTTACGAAAAACACGTATTTTCTCTTGAAATTTGCTTGTAAGTGAACCAAAATTGACTTAAAAAGATGAGAAATGAAACAATAAACATTTTTCTTTAGAGAAAATCATAGGTTAATTAGTAAATTTGTTATTTTTCAAAAGGAAATACGAAAAAGGAAAGAAAAGACTTTCTAAAAAGCCAAATTTAAGACAAATAAAGCCAAATAAAGCCAAATTTAAGACAAAAATTGATTCCAAAAAGAAAAGCGATTTTAAAATCGAGGCTTTAGATGTGGAATTTCCCTTTTGATGTTCAAAGTTGCGGTATCGGTTTCCAAACGTACTCGCTCACTAAACAAGGCTTCAACCTTTCCACGAAAGTTTCCGGAAGTTACGGATCCATCAGTTCTAGAAGTCGAATTAAGCCACTTTTATTTACCAATAAAACTTTCAGGGTAATGGTGAATGGTGTATCATCAGTCTCACCAACAATTACACTGTCGAAGTACCAACATTGTCTCTGGTAGTTGCAAGGGATTTTTTATAAGATTTTCCAAATTTCAGGCCGGTTTCCAGCCAAGACTGCACCGTGAAGCCTCTTTTTTATGTTTTTGTGATTGTTCTGCCGTGTTTTCTACTGACAACACTATCGAATTTTGGGATGTTCTGGAGTTCACGGGTGAAAGAAGACAAGCTAGGAAAGGTGGGTCAAAGCTAGCTACAAGTTTCGTTCTTTAGTAAATTGAATGAGCTAATTTTATCATTTATGAGAAAAATGTCTAAAAAATCAATTTGGAAAAGCAAAAATATCTAAAAGAAACTGATGAAAGGAGTAAAATTTCTGGTTTCTGTTTTGTTCAAGAATCCGATACTTTTGCAACTTTTCTCTGACTATTGACTGCCTGTAAATCTTGGCTAATTCTTGGGTTGGTGAATTGAAAACTGCCGGCTATTGTCATAAGTGACAGTTTTAGCACTTTCTTCAAGAGAAACCCATTTTGGTGTCAATGGAAAAGTTGTAGAGAATCAAAAATCAAGCTTATATCCAAATTTTCAGAACGATTCAAAAACTGATTTTCAAGAAATGCCAAATTTACGAATTTTCACAAGACTTGCATTTTAAGCGAAACTACTAAGTGTATCTTTTTGGAAATTTGGCTATAAGCCTAATTTTTGATTCTCTACAACTTTTCTATTAACACCAAAATGGGTTTCTTTTGAAGAAAGTGCTCAAACTGGGACATCGGACATCTCCAGTCCTCCATTTTTGAGTCTCACACTTGTCTCACACACAAACCAAAATCCTACCACGAAAGAGGAACCCTCAAATCGCCTGTAAAATGAGCAGAAGTCGTCAATAATAATGGAAATTATCTGGAATGAAT